GGCCTTTGAATTCCTAGTAATGCCCTTTGGCCTGACAAACGCCCCAGCTACGTTCTGCACGTTGATGAACCAAGTTTTCTACGAATACCTGGATCAATTCGTCATAGTATACCTCGATGACATTGTTGTTTACAGCACAACCCTCGAGGAACACAAAGTGCATTTGAAGTTAGTGTTTGACAAGCTCCGGCAGAACCAGCTGTATGTGAAGAAGGAGAAATGTGCATTCGCACAAACATGCATCAACTTCCTTGGACATGTCGTCAGATGTGGACAAATTAGTATGGATAGCGACAAGATAAAAGCTATCCAAGAATGGAAGGTTCCTACTTCCGTATCTGAGTTGCGGTCCTTCTTAGGACTAGCCAACTACTATAGGCGGTTCGTCGAAGGGTTTTCACGACGAGCCGCCCCATTGACAGAGCTGTTGAAGAAAGACCACCCTTGGTTGTGGTCGAATGATTGTCAAATGGCCTTTGAAAATCTGAAAACAACCATGACGAGGGGTCCTGTCCTCGGGTTGGTAGACGTCACAAAGCCATTTGAAGTAGAAACCGATGCTTCCGACTTTGCTCTCGGGGGAGTCCTTATTCAAGAAGGCCACCCCATCGCTTATGAAAGTCGAAAGCTCAACGATGCCGAACGAAGATACACTGTCTCCGAGAAAGAAATGCTGGCCGTAGTCCATTGCCTTCGAGTCTGGAGACAGTATCTCTTAGGCTCACAGTTCGTAGTGAAGACGGATAACAGCGCCACTTGCCACTTCTTTGATCAACCAAAATTAACAGCAAAACAAGCCCGGTGGCAGGAGTCGTTGGCCGAATTCGACTTCAAGTTCGAACACAAAGCAGGAAAGAGTAATCAAGCAGCCGACGCGCTGAGTCGGAAGGGCGAACATGCGGCCCTGTGCATGTTAGCCCATATTCATTCAAGTAAGATCGATGGATCGATGCGCGACATCATCAAGGAACATTTACACAAAGACCCATCGGCCAAAGCTGTTGTCGAACTAGCTAAGGCTGGAAAGACACGGCAGTTTTGGGTTGAGGGGGACCTCCTGATAACCAAAGGAAACAGATTGTACGTCCCAAGAACAGGGGAACTGAGGAAGAAGCTCATTCAGGAATGTCATGATACCTTGTGGGCCGGACATCCTGGGTGGCAAAGAACATACGCCCTAATAAAGAAGGGGTACTTCTGGCCAAACATGCGAGACGACATCATGCAATACACCAAGACGTGCCTCATCTGCCAACAGGATAAGGTCGAGAAAGCCAAAGTCTCTGGACTCTTGGAACCTCTACCTGTGCCAACAAGACCCTGGGAAAGTGTATCCCTGGACTTCATAACACACCTCCCAAAGGTCGGGGAATATGACGCCATCTTGGTTATTGTAGACCGATTCTCCAAGTATGCGACATTCATCCCCACTCCCAAATTATGCTCGGCGGAACTCACAGTCCAACTGTTTTTCAAACACGTTGTAAAGTTATGGGGCATTCCGTCAAGCATCATCAGTGATAGGGATGACAGATTCATTGGGACATTCTGGACTGAGTTATTCGCTTTCTTGGGAACAACCTTAAACATCTCCTCGAGTTATCACCCTCAAACCGATGGACAGACAGAACGGTTCAATTGCTTGCTCGAAGAATATTTACGTCAGTTCGTCGACGCTCGCCAAAAGAACTGGATACAATTGTTAGATGTCGCCCAATTTTGCTTCAATTGTCAAACCAGCTCATCTACCGAGAAGAGTCCCTTCGAAATTGTAAGTGGACGACAACCGGCCTTACCCCATATTATTGATCATCCTTATGCAGGAAAAAACCCTCAAGCTCACAACTTTACGAGGGAATGGAAGCAGACGACAGATATAGCCCGGGCATATTTAGAGAAGGCTTCCAAACATATGAAGAAATGGGCGGACAAGAAGCGTCGCCCCCTTCATTTCCGTGCAGGAGATCAAGTCCTTATCAAGCTGAGATCGGAACAGATCAGATTTCGTAGCCGAAAGAACCAGAGACTAGTTCGTAAATATGAAGGCCCGGTTGAAGTCCTTAAAAAGATCGGGGCTACCTCCTACAGAGTTGCACTGCCCGCGTGGATGAAAATCCACCCCGTCATTCATGTGAGCAACTTGAAGCCTTATCACCCTGATCCAGACGACGACCAACGAAATGCAACCACAAGACCGAACATCGATCTGAAGCAAAAAGAAACAAAGGAAGTGGAAGAGATCCTAGCCGACAGAGTTAGGAAGATAGGAAGACATGTACGGACGATTCGTGAATTCCTTGTCAAATGGAAGAATCTCCCTACAGAGGAAACAAGCTGGGAACGCGCCGAAGATCTGAACTCCGCCGCCACCCACATCGCAAGGTATGAAAGTAGTCGGTTGACAGGGACGTCAACCAATTAGGTGGGGGAGGATGTCACGGTCATGCTTGTCCAGGGCATGTTGCCCATGGCCGCATGCCCATGACAAGCCAAACCCTTGTCATGTCTTTTCATTCTAGTGTTTTTCCTTTTGTAATTCTAGAGCGTATGACACCTCAAAAATATCATGTCTAGGCCTGCCAGAACTAAAATGGCCCAGAATGTGCTATAGGGGGATATGACTAGTCGTCAACTTCTCCCTACCTAAGGTTATATATGCTAAGTCGTTGTTATCTTTCTCTTGCTTGCTTATATAACGTCTCTTTCTAAAATCTCTCTCCTCGTTTCTAAAACCTTCTTTTAAAACCGAGGCTAGAGGCTTGACCGTACGTCGCTTGGCCGTAGGCGACGCAAGAACAAATAGGCTGAACTCACTTGTTGCTAGAAAGTGAGTGCCGCACAATCGCTAGTCCGCTGCCTTCGAAAGCGCGATTGTGTCACTCAGCTTCATTAGGATGGGGCTTCCTGCCAACGATTTCATGAGCGCGTTACCGTTTGATCATCGTTGAGTGTTTCATTATCCACCATGCAAGGTGGATCATCAGGCATTGGCTACGGGCTGAAATACCAGGTCAATGTTGTTCAATTTCTGATGACAAATGTATTCATGGTATTGCAACTCCATAGATCTTCTTCACTATAAACCCTAATTCCCATTTTCGAAATTGTTTTCTTCTCCAGGCTCGATGCATCGCTGATGTCAAAGCAGATACAGATCACACCAGCTTCATCACCGGTACTCTCAGTCTCAAAGACGAAAATGAGGTTACTCTCAGTCTTACGTCGATTGATTTCATTGCATCATTGTATTGTTTGTTTTATGCATGGATCTGATACATTTTGAAGTCTATTAGGCGCATTTGATTCGTCTCTCGTCGAGTGGATCCGAGCTCATATGCGAGGGTTTGTTTTCTCACCCCAATGAGATCTGGGACCTCGCATCTTGCCCCTTCGACCAACGCATTTTCTCTACCGTCTTCTCCACTGGTAATTAATTGATTGCACAAAACTCAATTTTCTGTTGTGCATTCTTCTGATGCGTTGCTTTTTTATACCGCCATTTTACAAGTTTCCTTAATGTTGACTCATAAATTCTCAAAGAATACAGAGCTAAAGAGAATGATCACAAAGGGATGATATTTTTCACTGAGAATGATCAAAAGTGCACTAGCCTTCATATAGGCATACTGTGAATACAAATGAATAAATGATAAACAGTTCAATCAACTGGCTTAGAAAACACATCAGCAATCTTAGATAGCACACCAACAGCAACAATACTACGACAGAGACGAACAACACTACAATAGAGACGAACTTCAAAAAGAAAAGTTGCCACAAAAAGCAGATAACACCGAACCACTTATCATAGGATTTGAAATACCTTTAGCCTGATGCATATTAGTCTTAAACAAAAGATCGAAGATATATTTTTGTCTAAGATAGAAACAAATCCAAATTCCCAGCAGGTGTATTAGAAACTTCAACCCCTAAAAAATAACTCAAAAGACAAACTTCTTTTGGAGAATTTTTTTTTATGTAGGGAGCTGACAAGAAGTTCGATCATAGTAGTAGAGCTGCCAATAATTCCTATGTCTTTAACATATACTAAAACATAATAAGATGGCAAACCAATAAAGAGGAATCAGCTTGAGAATTCTCAAATTCAAGTGAATGAAAAAAAGTACTTTGTTGATATCTACTTGTCGTAAAGACCAACCATGAGCCAATGCAAGAGAAAACAAGACTCGTTATTGTAGTAGGCTTTACCACAGGGCTTTGAGGTTTTTGTGTCTAAATCAGCCTCATGAGGAAATCTTGAGCAACAAACAGCTTTAGATCCATCTGAGTTTTGCATATTTGGAATACCCATTTGTAACATATAATCTTCTTATCCATAGGAGGAAACACCAAAAACCAAGTATCATTAGCAATCAAAGCATTTTATTCCTCCTTCATAGCTTTTATCCCATGCTCATACTTGGAAGCCTCCTTAAGATTTGGTGGTTCATGTTCAACATACTGAGTCGGAAAGACTTTTGGTTGAAAAAACCGTACTTACCTTGTGCGATCAAAGAGTGTTGACTCATCAGGAAACACAGGTAGAGACAATGAGAAAGAAGAAGCATTAGATGTAGAAGATTTAGAGACATGGTTGGAAGTCTCGGGTAAAGGTAAGGATGAAGAATCGGGTAAATGCAAAGATGAAGATTCAGTAAGGACAAAAGGGAATCACTTGAAGGGCTAGAAGATGTTGGATGGGACAAGACAACATTAGGCTCATTGATAGGTTCAGTGAAGATGTGTTTGACAAATTCTAAAGATGATTTTGGTCAAAAGAAAAAGGACAAATAGACGAGAGTTTATTTGTATCTAAAGTAGTTGGCTGGGAAAATTTGAACGAGGATAAAAAGGATGAGGTAGGAAATTTATTTATGTACAATCTTCCCAAGGAAGAAAGACATTTATATCCTATTTTAATATGGCTCTAGCCAAAAAAGATACAAGGGGTAAATCTATGTTCAATTTTATGGAACTCTCCCATGGTCTTTGTGGTACAGGCTTTGGGGAGCCTTAGGAGTCTGTTTTGCTTGTTCTTGTCCTATTGTCACATAAGACACGTCTTCACTTAGTCAACAACGTTGTCTTGCATACCTGACTAATAATTCCTCTGTGCTTGCAACATTGTGTTCGCATGCTTTAAGGGCAGTTGAGAGTATTTGTAACAACAGCTATCTAACGCATCAAATCACGAATCACCACGTGGACTCAAGGGTAAAAGCCATACAACATTTGACTTTTATAAAACGGGAGACACAAAAGTTAAAATTTCCTGATATGCATTTCAAAATTTAAGATAATTCTAAAAACATAACGGGATTTGTGAAGTCACATAAAAAAGAAAACAGTTACAAAATATCATGAGTTTTCCAAGATAAGCATCAAAATGATATTAAAAATGACATGAAAAGAGAGGACTCGATCTAAGGGCCTCTTTTGCAGATGCACGACTCCGCACGTTCCCGCTGCCGACATCGATTTACTTTCCACCTGAACAAATAGAAACAACGTGGAATGAGCATTAAAATACTCAGTAAGCTACCTACTTGAGGCTCTTGTCAGACTTAATCCTATTCACGGAATCCTAGATTATGTGCTCGAAACTGTCTCTAACAAAATTCGGTGTGGTCTCAAGAAAAGATTCTATGGTTACTCATTGATATGAATTCTCTTTACCCATCTACCTATCGAGCTTAAATTAGTGGATTCTCCCTAGTGGTGTCGAGCAACATCTACCTGTTCCTAAGATCAGTAACTACGTGCCACTATGCCCCCTTCAGGCTAGGTTAGTAAACTACCTGTCTTACACCCCGTTGGGTTCATAACAGTAAAACTACTCGTTTTAGGAATAGTAATTACTTGTTATTTTGCCTTTCCAGGCTAGGACAGTAAACTACCTGTCACTATGCAAACGTAACAAGTAAACTACTCGTTTTAGGAATAGTAATTACTTGTTATTTTGCCTTTCCAGGCTAGGACAGTAAACTACCTGTCACTATGCAAACGTAACAAGTAAACTACCCTCGTCGGGGTGGATCAGTAAAAAGACATTGGCTCTCCCCACTAGACACGATTTGGTACTACAGTAGTATACTCCTTATGGCTACTCATGTAACGATCGCTCTCCGACGCATCGAATCATAAATCGCTACGTGGACTCTGGGGTAAAAGTCTTACAACATTTTCATTTTTATAAAACGGGAGACACAAGAAAATTAAAGTTATTTGATAGCATTTAAAATCCAAAATAGTTTCAAAACATACGGGATCCGCGGAGTCACATCAAAAGAAATCAGTTACAAAATAGCATAAGTTTTCCCAAAATAAACATCAAAATGACAATAAAACAACATGGACAGAGGGGACTCGATCTAAGGGTCTCCACTGCAGCTGCACGACTCTGCATGTTCCCGCCACCGACATCAGTCTACTTAACACCTGAAAAAAATAGCAACAACATGGGATGAGTATAAAAATACTCAGTAAGCAACCTACTTGTAGGCTCTTATCGGACTTAATCCTATTCACGGAATCTTTGGCTATGTGCTCAAATCTATCTCTAGCAAAGTCTACTGTGGTCTCAAAAGAAGACCCTATGGATTCTCATTGATATGGATTTTATTCCATACCTAACTATCTACTGAGCTCAAATCAGGGATTCCGCCTAGTGGTGCCTGGTGACACAATCGCGCTTTCGAAGGCAGCGAACTAGCGATTGTGCGGCACTCACTTTCTAGCAACAAGTGAGTTCAGCCTATTTGTTCTTGCGTTGCATACGGCCAAGCGACGTACGGTCGAGCCTCTAGCCTCGGTTTTAAAAGAAGGTTTTAGAAAACGAGGAGAGAGAGAGATTTTAGAAAGAGAGATTTTAGAAAGAAACGTTATATAAGCAAGCAAGAGAAAGATAACAACGGCTTAGCGTATATAACCTTGGGTAGGGAGAAGTTGACGACTAGTCATATCCCCCTATAATACATTCTGGGCCATTTTAGTTCTGGCAGGCCTAGACATGATATTTTTGAGGTGTCATACGCTCTAGAATTACAAAAGGAAAAACACTAGAATGAAAAGACATGACAAGGGTTTGGCTTGTCATGGGCATGCGGCCATGGGCAACATGCCCTGGACAAGCATGACCGTGACATCCTCCCCCACCTAATTGGTTGACGTCCCTGTCAACCGACTACTTTCATACCTTGCGATGTGGGTGGCGGCGGAGTTCAGATCTTCGGCGCGTTCCCAGCTTGTTTCCTCTGTAGGGAGATTCTTCCATTTGACAAGGAATTCACGAATCGTCCGTACAGGTCTTCCTATCTTCCTAACCCTGTCGGCTAGGATCTCTTCCACTTCCTTTGTTTCTTTTTGCTTCAGATCGATGTTCGGTCTCGTGGTTGCATTTTGTTGGTCGTCGTTTGGATCAGGGTGATAGGGCTTCAAGTTGCTCACATGAATAACGGGGTGGATTTTCATCCACGCGGGTAGTGCAACTCGGTAGGAGGTAGCCCCGATCTTTTTAAGGACTTCAACCGGGCCTTCATATTTACGAACTAGTCTCTGGTCCTTTCGGCTACAAAATCTGATCTGTTCCGGTCTCAGCTTGATAAGGACTTGATCTCCTGCACGGAAATGAAGGGGGCGACGCTTCTTGTCCGCCCATTTCTTCATATGCTTGGAAGCCTTCTCTAAATATGCCCGAGCTATATCTGTCGTCTGCTTCCATTCCCTTGTAAAGTTGTGAGCTTGAGGGTTTTTTCCTGCATAAGGATGATCAATAATATGGGGTAAGGCCGGTTGTCATCCACTTACAATTTCGAAGGGACTCTTCCCTGTAGATGAGCTGGTTTGACAATTGAAGCAAAATTGGGCGACATCTAACAATTGTATCCAGTTCTTTTGGCGAGCGTCGACGAAGTGATGTAAGTATTCTTCGAGCAAGAAATTGAACCGTTCTGTCTGTCCATCGGTTTGAGGGTGATAACTCGAGGAGATGTTTAAGGTTGTTCCCAAGAAAGCGAATAACTCAGTCCAGAATGTCCCAATGAATCTGCCATCCCTATCACTGATGATGCTCGACGGAATGCCCGATAACTTTACAACGTGTTTGAAAAACAGTTGGGCTGTGAGTTCCGCCGAGCATAATTTGGGAGTGGGGATGAATGTCGCATATTTGGAGAATCGGTCTACAATAACCAAGATGGCGTCATATTCCCCGACCTTTGGGAGGTGTGTTATGAAATCTAGGGATACACTTTCCCAGGGTCTTGTTGGCACAGGTAGAGGTTCCAAGAGTCCAGAGACTTTGGCTTTCTCGACCTTATTCTGTTGGCAGATGAGGCACGTCTTGGTGTATTGCATGATGTCGTCTCGCATGTTTGGCCAGAAGTACCCCTTCTTTATTAGGGCGTATGTTCTTTGCCACCCAGGATGTCCGGCCCACAAGGTATCATGACATTCCTAAATGAGCTTCTTCCTCAGTTCCCCTGTTCTTGGGACGTACAATCTGTTTCCTTTGGTTATCAGGAGGTCCCCCTCAACCCAAAACTGTCGTGTCTTTCCAGCCTTAGCTAGTTCGACAACAGCTTTGGCCGATGGGTCTTTGTGTAAATGTTCCTTGATGATGTCGCGCATCGATCCATCGATCTTACTTGAATGAATATGGGCTAACATGCACAGGGCCGCATGTTCGCCCTTCCGACTCAGCGCGTCGGCTGCTTGATTACTCTTTCCTGTTTTGTGTTTGAACTTGAAGTCGAATTCGGCCAACGACTCCTGCCACCGGGCTTGTTTTGCTGTTAATTTTGGTTGATCAAAGAAGTGGCAAGTGGCGCTGTTATCCGTCTTCACTACGAACTGTGATCCTAAGAGATACTGTCTCCAGACTCGAAGGCAATGGACTACAGCCAACATTTCTTTCTCGGAGACCGTGTATCTTTGTTCGGCATCGTTGAGCTTTCGACTTTCGTAAGCGATGGGGTGGCCTTCTTGAATAAGGACTCCACCGAGAGCAAAGTCGGAAGCATCGGTTTCTACTTCAAATGGCTTTGTGACGTCTACCAACCCGAGGACAGGACCCCTCGTCATGGTTGTTTTCAGATTTTCAAAGGCCATTTGACAATCATTCGACCACGACCAAGGGTGGTCTTTCTTCAACAGCTCTGTCAATGGGGCGGCTCGTCGTGAAAACCCTTCGACGAATCGCCTATAGTAGTTGGCTAGTCCTAAGAAGGACCGCAACTCAGATACGGAAGTAGGAACCTTCCATTCTTGGATAGCTTTTATCTTGTCGCTATCCATACTAATTTGTCCACATCTGACGACATGTCCAAGGAAGTTGATGCATGTTTGTGCGAATGCACATTTCTCCTTCTTCACATACAGCTGGTTCTGCCGGAGCTTGTCAAACACTAACTTCAAATGCACTTTGTGTTCCTCGAGGGTTGTGCTGTAAACAACAATGTTGTCGAGGTATACTATGACGAACTGATCCAGGTATTCGTAGAAAACCTGGTTCATCAACGTGCAGAACGTAGCTGGGGCGTTTGTCAAGCCAAAGGGCATTACTAGGGATTCAAAGGCCCCATATCTTGTTACGCACGTCGTCTTGGGTTCGTCCCCTTCGGCAATGCGTACTTGATAATATCCTGATCGTAAGTCCAACTTCGTGAAGTACTTAGCCCCGTGAAGTTGGTCGAACAAGTTAGATATTATCGGCAGAGGATATTTGTTGCGTACTGTCACCTTGTTTAAGGCTCTATAGTCTATGCACAGACGCAACGTCCCATCCTTCTTCTTCTAGAACAGTACGGGGGCTCCATAAGGGGCCTTTGCCGGGTGAATGAATCCCGCCTTCAACAACTCATCCAGTTGTTTCCTCAATTCGGCTAACTCAGGCGGAGCCATCCGGTATGCGTTCTTTGCTGGTGGCTTAACCCCGGGAAGGAGTTCGATTTCGTGGTCAATGCCTCGACGAGGGGGTAGTGTTTGTGGTAGACTCTCCGGCATTATGTCGGTATAGCTGTCTAGTACTTCCTTGATTTCCTCTGGGACAGTCTCTTCGGTGGTTGCTTCTTCTATCAGTGGTATGGCCATGAATGTAGGTTCCTCTCGTGCATTTCAGTTGTATGGCTGAGATCATTCGAAGATTACCTGGTTGCTTGATGCTTGCAGGTATTACTGTGGGGTTACGGTCGGTGATCACCAAGCATTTTGCCAATGGCATTGGGATGACCTTGTGTTCTAGGAGGAACTCCATCCCAAGTACCACGTCGAAGTCGTCCATGCGAACCACGACAAGGTCTAGCTCTCTAGTCCAATCCCCTATTTTGAAGGGGACTCTCTTAGAAACTCCCACAATAGGCAAGGCCTTGGAGTTGACAGCTTTCATTTTCCCCGGGTCTTTTCCTATGGTGAGTCCCAATCTTCTGGCTTCTTGATCGACAATGAAGTTGTGGGTTGCTCCAGAGTCTATCAGAGTGCTCTTGCTCGGTTGAGAGTTTATTGTGGCATTTAGAACATGAGCCCTTTCTCTATTACCTCCTTCGGTTCGACTTTCCGTTGGAGGGCTGACAAGAATTTGAGTGCGCCCATTCGGGGGTTGTCGTGATCTTCCTTCTTGTCTAGCAAAGTCTAGACCCTTGCTTCATTGCTCTCTTGAGTGGACACTTGAAGTGCAGTGAGAGAGGCCCGGTGAGGACAGTAGGATACCTTGTGGGGGCCTTTACACAGCATGCATTGCAAAGGCGTCGTCGGGTGGTTCCTTTGATGGTAAGGCCCTCGAGATGTCCCCGCTTGATTGTTCTGAGGAGGTCTATCCGTCCATCCATTCGGTCTGTTGGGGCTTCCATTTCGCTGGCCTGGTGGTCTGTATGGTTTGCCCCCATTGTTTGGGGCTGGTGTCGCTCTTCTTTGGGATCCTGCTTCGTTTCCACAGTCTACGAGTCTCTCGGCGTAGGCCATTGCGGCAGCTAGGGTTTGGACCCTGTTCTCATGTATCTTTGTTTTGGCCCACGGATGTAGACCATTTATGAAGAAGAACACCTTGTCCTTCTCTGCTGTGCCCCTGATATCCAGCATCAGGGTTGAGAACTGTCTGACGTAGTCCCGTATGTTTCCAGTGTGTTTCAAGGCTACTATTTTCTCCATTGCTGTATGCCCTGCGTTTTCGGGGAGGAATTGTTCCCTCAACTCTCTCTTGAGGTCCTCCCATGAGTCGATGGTGCACAATCCATCCTCGATGTCTTGCACCTTCGTACGCCACCACAGTTTGGCGTCGTCTATGAGATATATCGCGGCTACAGTCACCTTCTTGTCGTCGGTACAAGCCGTTGTGGCTTTGAAGTACTGTTCGACGTCAAAGATGAAGTTCTCCAACTCTTTGGCGTCTCGATTCCCTTTGAAGGCTCTAGGGTCTGGGAACCTTAGTTTGTTGGATCCTGTACTAGTTTGTCCAGCTGCGACACCTTCCACGGCTTTCATGGTAATTTCAATTCGAGTGCTCATGGCGGCCATCCTTTCTTGGAGGTCGTCGACTGTTGTTCTGAATTCATCAGCCAATCCATTGAACAAACTCATCATTGTGTTTTGTAGTACATCGAACTCTTCGCCACGTCCCTCTTTGTGTGCGACAGAGCTATCCGGACTATCAGACGGTTTTGGGCTGCTCGTAGGAGCAACTCTTTCTTCGAGCGAGGTCACTCGAAACAACAGTTCTGCGATTGGCAACCCATCCAGGCGGTTGCCCATTGCGTCGACTTGGACGACTTTCTCACTCAGTTCGGTCACCTGTGTTTCCAGGAAACGGAGGGTGTCAGGGACTTCTTTGAGGAACAGCATTTCCTCCTCTATTAGCGTAAGCCGGTCGGCTTGTGCTTTGGGTGTCGACTTTGTCGTCAACATGATCTCGGTCTGTATGACGTTACGGAGCTAACAAAGCTCTGATACCACTTGACACAATCGCGCTTTCGAAGGCAGCGGACTAGCGATTGTGCGGCACTCACTTTCTAGCGACAAGTGAGTTCAGCCTATTTGTTCTTGCGTCGCCTACGGCCAAGCGACGTACGGTCGAGCCTCTAGCCTCGGTTTTAAAAGAAGGTTTTAGAAAACGAGGAGAGAGAGATTTTAGAAAGAGAGATTTTAGAAAGAGAGATTTTAGAAAGAGACGTTATATAAGCAAGCAAGAGAAAGATAACAACAGCTTAGCATATATAACCTTGGGTAGGGAGAAGTTGACGACTAGTCATATCCCCCTGTAGTACATTCTGGGCCATTTTAGTTCTGGCAGGCCTAGACATGATATTTTTGAGGTGTCATAGGCTCTAGAATTACAAAAGGAAAAACACTAGAATGAAAAGACATGACAAGGGTTTGGCTTGTCATGGGCATGCGGCCATGGGCAACATGCCCTGGACAAGCATGATTGTGACACCTGGCATCAACTACCTGTTCCTGAGAATCAGTAACTACTTGCCGCCCTGCCGAGTTGGTTCAGTAAACTACCTATCTTACACACCTGTCGGGTTTAGATAAGTAAAAGGCCATGGCTCTCCCCACTAGGCACCCCTGACGTAGTACTACAATAGTATACTCACTATGCCCACCCATATCCACTATAGGTGCCAATTAAAAGACGGTAACTCATAATCTATGAAATTCATAATTCACGCTATCTAGCACATAGCAAATGGTCCAATTCACAAATGGGCAATAATGGGCTATCCAAACCCCAAATCAAAGTAGAACAAAGTATCAAGGCTCACATCATACTCATCATGCAAATCAAGAAATAACAATCTACCTTGACATCTTAGGAAACACATAAACCCAAACTCCTATCAGATAATTTCACATTTATGCATGCGGAAGCTATATAACCCTAACTATATCAAGGTATAATCATTCACGATATCGAAGTACAACACACATAAAACTAATGTTAACCAAACTCCTAAGTATAATACTAGATCGTTTGCCCTTACTCCAAACCGACTCCTACAAGCATTTCTTAGAAACTTGTTCCATGCGGTTACTTGTTGTAGGCTTCTCGAACTTGTTTCGGGTCTTCAACAAATTTTCAATTCCTTCAAAGATCTTCAATTAGGTCCTACATTAAAAAAATATATCAAAATTATAGAAGTTGGGTAGAATTTGAGTCAAAACGATGCAAATTTGCGAGAATTGGGTCTCTGAACCTTGAGTCATGTTTACCTTCGGGTTTGTTTTGGGTACTGGGTCGGAGTCAGCTAGATGGGTCGGATCGGGCCGGTGTTGACTTTTGGGTCACTAGGCGGGTAGGGTCGGTTGGCGGGTCAGTGCGGTTTGGTACAGCGGGTCGATTTGGTCCAACGGTTGGTTAAATCTAGCGATCGGCTCCTTCCTCCCCGCAACTTTCCTTCACTTCTTCAACTTCTGTCATCGTTCCTTTTTCCCTCTTATTCGACCCTTGATCGTTCGACTTTGTTTACCAGCAACAGTAGTTCCTTGCAAGCTTATGGTTTCGTTGATATTTTCTCCCGCGGGGTTGCTTGGACTCCAACAAAGCACTTGCCCTTTCCCTCTGATTTAACATCTTGGTTCAAACCCCCTCCCTCAGATTTATTGGTCTTTTACCCACGGAAGTGAGAATTGTGTAGTTGACTTGTTATTCACGCGTTTTCATTCTCTCTATTCTTCGCATCTCGACCACAGTTGTTTTATGGGGTTTCATTCTGTTGTAATGGATTCTTCTAAATTCTCTATTTTTTTTTTTCACTTTTCTTTGAATTGATCCTCCTCCATTTTCATAAGGTGAAACTTCGAAGCAGCAATATGGCAAATCCCGGAGTTATATGGCGAATTGAATTCTCCTCAGTTGGAAAAGGTTACATCACTTAATGACCATGCTAGTAAGATCAACTGGTGAGCACTAGTCAGAAGCAATTCTTTTTTCTGGTTACAATTGTGTCCAATTGCATTTGGCCTATTTGAATTTCATATTTTGTCAAATGCAGAATACATATAAAATCAATGCTTTTATTCTAATAATTAAAGAAAAATTTATGCTCATGAAAATATACTTTCCTATGCTACTTTTATCCTTCTCTGAATTCTACTCAATTTTTTTTCTTTTCTCACTTGTTTGCTTTCATTGATCCATATGAACTTGTTTCCAATTGTAAATCAATTAACCATTCCCACTATTTGCGTTCTCTTTCCAAACAAAAATCTGCTGGACAGTGTTCTTTGGTGGCCATCTGGTAGACATGATAAGCTGATCAGCATTGATGAGGAAAATATTTTACTATGGAGCTTGGATTGTTCAAGAAAACTTGCTCAGGTAGACTTAACTCGGTAGTGTTTGGTGGTGTGACTGGATTCTATATTATTGAGTTAATTTCACTTTTGCACCACTTTGTTGTATATGCATGGGTAGGCTAAGGTTCAGGTTATAATTTTTTAGATAAGATTGAATTCATTTATCAAGTAAAAACTAGGCCATAGGAGTTAAGGCATCAATCCCCTGACACCCAAAGAATTGCAATCTTTTTTTGTAATTGGTGTTTATAACAAAAGGAAACTGATCTTGTAACACTTTTTTTTCCTCTCTGGAAATACCAATGAGTTGGATTTTTTTTTTCCCTTTCAAACCAAATCTCTGGAACAATTGCTAGAACTACATTGTCTAAAAGGTTTTCAGCTTTTATCCTGTTAAGGTTATCAACAGCAACTGATCTAGGCATTCCAGAACCTCTAGAAAGTAGCCTAGCAGCCTGCTAGACCAAATTCATTTAGAAGTCCCTGCCAATGTTTTGTCACAAACAACAGTTCCCAAAAGGGCAGTTCTGATTTTCCTGCTCTTTTATGCATTACACAATTGGGGAGACTGAGCTTTGCCCAGCTGTCTTTTCGAACAAAGTCATCCATCATCGTTCCTGAGACTGAAGTCCGTAGAAAAAATCTCACTTCTAGAAGAGCTTTCTCCTTCCATAGGCGAAGCCAGCAGATTATAAATGTTTTTCCAAAGTTTTTATCTTTTTGTTAATTGTTCATCTAGTCAGCTAATTAGTAGGGTGTAGATTAGCCCATTAATCCCTGTTAGTAGCCCACTTTTTTAATCGTGTTAAATATTCTTTGGGGATTCTTGGAGATTTTCTCCTTGATGCATGGTCCATCAGTTATTATTGTCCCCTCTTCAATCCATTTTTTCTTATCTTTTTGTTTCCAGCTCATTTCTTCTTTTGCTGCCAAAGCCATAACTTTAGCATTCATCTTCTTCCTTTGTGTATGCTGGATTGTGAAACGGGGCCAGCTTCCTTCAAACTTTCAATGATGGATATTTTTGTCAATAATTGGTTACATTCTGAAGTAATGCATCCGAACACATCTTTGCCCAAGTTTCAATCACATCCTTCAAGCCCTTAAGTTCGATGATAAAGCCATGGCGCAGCCATCCATGAAGGGGTGTTCTTCCGCCAATTTTCTATCATGGGCATGAAGGATTGGTGTTGGAGCCACATATTTTTTAAGCAAAAAGGTGAGGGGCTCATATGATACTGCCCATGTATAAGATCAAGGGAAAGTGGTCTGATATGGGTCTGTTGGCGCGCCTAACCCCGACAATTGTGAACTTGTCGAGGATATCTTTTACGGATAGAAATCTGTCAGTGAGAGTCATAATGGAGGGAATTCTGTTATCGGACTAGGTAAACTGCCCATTCTGCAGGGGAAGGTCATCGAGTTCAGTTAGACACCTCTATTTTGCGGGTGAGTTTATTGTTAGATTTCTCATGGGACCAGCGAGATACATTCTGGAGTTGCTATCTGCACAAGGAAGGAGCTTGTAAATCTGAGGGGAGATCATTATGGAATTCATCGAGTTTTGTACACGAAAAATGGTTAATTGATCACCGTCCCTCCTAATATCAGTTGGAGCCCCATTGACAGCCACCAATTTGTCAAATTCGAAACAGAACCTTAGAACTAGAAATTTGGAAAGTTGTACAACTCAGCATCGACAAATCCCGATGCCCTGATGGATTGACATAAAAAATCTTCAAAAATGTTGGAACGTCCTCAAAGGTGACGTTATGAGGGTGTTCCACATTTGTCTGATTCGCAAAGAAAATAGATGCTTGGACTATTGCTGAATTTCACCCCATCAGTCTTACCACATGCCTCTACATGATGGTTGCTTGGGTCCTATCTGAACGACTTAAGAAGGTTCTTCCTCTCACCATAACAGAATACCAAACTGCTTTTGTCGAGAAGAGACAAATCCTTAGTTCATCACCACATTGAAAATGCCGCTTCCACCCTTTTCTGGTTGACCCGTGGCGGTTATGGGTGATCACACTAATCTTTTGGAGACATCTTTGGCTAGAGATGTGAATGCACTCCTTAGTTCTATTCTGATGGGTCACCCATTCAAGAATGCCCAGGCTCTACTGTGGATTCATAATTCTCATGCTTTCTTTTCTGTCATTTTGAATGAAAGAAGCCAAAGGGTCTTCATGAATAAAGAGCATCCTTTTGATGCTCAAAGGTTTCATGAAATATTGGGAGACTGTCATTTGATTCGTGTGCAATTCTTGATGGTAATATGTTTGTTATTAAGAAAAGGGTTGTTACAATGTGTACTTCCTTTGTCATATCAACTACTTAGAGTGTGTTTGGACTAACTTCCTAAATGATTTTGGAAGTCCAAAAAATTGTATTTGTTGTAAAAGTCTAGAGTGTTTAGTAACAAATAAAAATCACAATTGAAATAATCAAATTGCTTTTAAATAATTTTTGGAAGAAACTTTAAACTTGATTGTATAAAAAGTGATTCTAATGTAATTGACTAGGAATCACTTCATGGTAAAGAATCACTTTTTGAAGTAGTCAACCAAACAAACTTACGGTTAAAATCATTTAAAAAAATGTGGCTAAACAACAAATGTTTTTGGTTAAAGGTGTTTAAATTAGGTGGTATGTCAAACTCACTATTGGTTAGGGGTGTACGCCTAACCTGCTAATTTGAGAACCCAACCCGACCCAACCAATTATAAGGGTTGGGTTGGGTTTAAAAGGACTTCGGGTTCAAGTTTAAAATTCAAATTATTGGGACAACCTGACCCAACCCGAAATCCTTAAAAAAAAAAAAAGGCCTAAGCCCACGTAGCCCGTCCATGAGTCATGTTGTCTGACTTTGCCACATGGCGCACATGCACTCTTCAGGGTGCTGACTTTCTCTCTCTCTCTCCTCTTCGATACACGAGATTAAGTTAATAAGTGTAATGATGATTCATCTCTCTCATTGTCTCTCTACTCTTCATCTTCATTGTACTCATTTCATAGCGTTCATCTTCTCTGTTGACATTGTTTTCATCTCATAGCGGACGTCGACGTCTTTCGCCAGTTACCTCTTTATTTCTCCGTCAAACTCTCTTCTCAGTAGGGGAGTTCATGATCCGGGTTGGATTGGGTTGAGAGATTTTTTTGAACCAACCCAAAAGTTCGGGTTGGCTGGATTGGCAACCCAACCTAACTTGAAAATTTTCACAACCCAATCCTCTATTTTTGGGTTGGGTTCGGGTTGTTCCATACTGAGAAGAGACAAGAAGTGGAGAAACAACCTACCGTCGAGCGGAGAAGTTCGACGGAAAACACAGAGTGTAGAAATCTGGCAGAAATGAAACGGAAAGCCGTGCAGAAAGACAGTCGGTGACGACGTCGAGGAAGTTGAGTGGAGAAATGGGAGCTGAGAAGAGAGTAGATGGAGAAATAAAGAGGTGACTGGTGAGCTAGATCGACGTCTGAAATGAGAACGACGTTAACGGAGAAGATGAACAATGAAGATGAGTAGAGAGAGACAATGAGATAGATGAAGAGAGTGAGAAAGTCTGCATCTTGAATAAGAGAGACAATTATAAAAGAGACCATTACAATAATTAATCCTCTCGTGAATCGAAGAAGAGAGAGAGAGGAAGTCTGCACCTTGAATAGTGCATGTGCGCCATGTGGCAACATGACTGATGGGTGGGCTGTGGGCTTGGGCCTTTTTTATGGTTTTCGAGTTGGGTCGGATTGTCCCAATAATTTAAAATTTGAACCCGAACCCAACCCAAACTAGATCGAGTTCCAAAAAATGAACCCAACCCGAACTCAAAGTCCTTTTAAACCCAACCCAACCCAACCCTTATAATTCGGGTTGGGTCGGGTTGGGTTCTTGGGTTGGGGGGTTGGGTGTACACCCCGACTTCTCAGCTCCCATTTCTCCACTCAACCTCGTCTCTGTGTTTCTCGTCGGACATCGTCTTCGACTGTCTCTCCGCTCGACTTTTCGTTTCATTTCCGTCGGGCTTCTACGCTCTGTTTTTCTCGTTGAACTTCTCCGCTTTGTGTTTCTTTTCGGACTTCTCCGCTTGACGGTAGGTTATTTCTCCACTTCTTGTCTCTTCTCAGTATTAAACAACCCGAAAATTTTCAGGTTGGGTTGGGTTTCCAATCCAACCAACCCGAACTTTTGGGTTGGTTCAAAAAAATCCCTCAACCCGACCCGGACCATGTACATCCCTATTCTTGGTCACTGTTTTTTCTTTTATATGAAAAACCAAGCTTTCATTGGGATCAAATGAACAAATATAAGGAAAATACCAAAAAAAAAAAAAAACCCTCTAAAGGAGCCCTATTAATATAAAAAATAGGCTCTAATCATGCAAAATAAGACCTAAAAACTAATTCTAAAATGCTTTACACACGGAGGCCCAAAGAGAAATCTAACAAGGGACCATACCACACCCCAAGATCTCAAGCCCTCTAAAAATTCTATTGTTTCTTTTCCTTCAAAGACCCCATAAAATAGGACAAAAGCTAGTATAGTCTAGGTGCTCAGTGATTATGAAATGGCGATTTGTGATAATCTTATTTGGGGCTTACTACTATCTAGGTGCAATCGAAGGAGTCAGCTGGGATGCTTCATTATTTGTCTGGAGGGACGTGGGATCCTAGTGAATCATCCGTTCAATTTTGGGATTTAAGGACAATGAAGTATGTTACCATTTATGCTTTATGTTTTTGACAGATGATGCATATATTATGTATTTGTTTTCCATCTGTCTGAGATTAAATTGGTACGTAATTACGTATGCTTCTTTGTGTGTACCCGACGTATATACACCTTTTATGGCGATATACACAGGGATGTTTTATTTGTTTCTTATGTTTTGAGAAGAAAGGAAATAAAACAGGCATTTCATGTTCTTCCTTTTAAACTCGAAGTTTTATTTCAAATAAATTATTTTGTAAAATCGTAGTTTCAATTCTTTGATAAATTCTGCATTGGCTTATGAGATGTTAATTACAGGAAGACAGACTCGATTGCGTGCTCGGCGTATATTCGTAATGTGGATTACAACCCCAAGAGGAAACATTTACTTGTAAGGATTCTTTTTCACTGCGAGTATCAAATTTGAAATCTCTTCTATTTACTAGTGAATGCATATAGAGAAGGTTTTTGTCAAAATATTATACACACTGCCCTTCTGTTCCTTTTTTTTAAAAAATGTGTTTACCACAATATATATTATATTTTTCTTCTCCATCTTGGCATTAAGAAAATGTCCCCTGTTTTAAGGTAACTGCTGAGGATGAAACTGGAATATCTCTCTGGGACCTTAGGAACCCAAAAGTCCCTATTCAACAGCTTCCTGGACACACCCACTGGTAATTTTTAAAAGATACCCCTGTTTTCCCTGGAATGTGTTGAACACTAAAATCTGTTCTGTGCAAATGTTAAATGTTTTAACCGTCATCCTTTGTACTTACTATTTCTGCAGGACTTGTGCTGCTCGTTGTAATCCTGAATATGATGGGCTAATCTTGGTTTGATCTCCTTCTCTCCTCTCCATTTCTATATAGAGTTACTTCTTCTAACCTATTTTACTGTTCCGTTCGTATTTGTTAAATTGCACTTTATACTTCTCTTGCACGTGTTTCTAATTATAATTAACCAAATCTGTGTAAGTTGATGTGATGGCCCAGACCCACCGCTAATAGATATTGTCCTCTTTGGGCTTTCCCTTTCGGGCTTCCCTTCAAGGTTTTTGGGTTTTCCCTTATGAGCTTCCCCATTACGCGTCTGCTAGGGAAAGGTTTCCACACTCTTATAAAGGGTGTTTCGTTCTCCTCCCCAACCAATGTGGGATATCACAATCCACCCCTCTTCAGGGCCCAGCGTCCTCGCTGGCTCTTGTTTCTTTCTCCAATCGATGTGAGACCCCCACCAAATCCACCCCCTTGGGGGTCCAACATCCTTACTGGCACACCGTCTCGTGTCTACCCCCTTCGGGGAATAGTCTCCTCACTGGCACATCGCCCGATGTCTATCTCTGATACCATTTGTGACGGTCCAAACCCACCACTAGCAGATATTGTCCTCTTTGGGCTTTCCCTTTCCGAGCTTCCCCTTAAGGTTTTTGGACTTTCCCTTATAGGCTTCCCCCTACGTCTGCTAGGGAAAGGTTTCCACACCTTTATAAAGGGTATTTTGTTCTCCTCCCCAACCAATATGGGATACCACAGTCAACTGGTGAAATCATTTTTATTTATAGTACAAGGTCTTCCAATTTTTCAATACATCTTTGAGCCAATGTTACGTTGTATATAATTGCAGAGTGCTGGGACTGATTCAGCTGTCAACTTATGGTTGCCATCTGTGTCTAATGGTGAACTGAAATCGGAAAGTTCATGTTCTTGTTTGGGATGTTTCTTTTTCTTTCTCTTTAAAATTTATGCTGATACTTGTTATTTATATAAACTTATGAGCAGGTCGGTTGATTCACCACCACAGCAAGGTGATCCATTATTACATTCTTACAGTGACTACGAAGACAGCGTTTATGGTAACACACCTGTAGCCTTTGTTATTTTAGTATATATATCTCCAGTGGATCAAACTTATCGGTTGGTTATACTTTCAAACTAAAAGGCCTTGCTTGGAGCTGTCGTGAGCCTTGGATCTTTGCATCATTGTCCTATGATGGGAGGGTAAGTAGGCTTCAACTGTTCCCAGATTGACATTGGTTTTCCGAAAAGAAACTGTACCAAATTGTACCCAGTTTACAGTTCTTCTGAATGACATGTTCAGTTCCCTTTTTTTTTTTTTTTTTTTTTTTTTTTT